GGTAGAAGTCGGGGACCTCAGTTTAATGGTGAAACCTTTCCTTCTCTCTTGGTTGGAGCAGGAATGGGCGGGAAGACTGTCTGATTCCACAGCACACCTGAGCTTTCTTCCTTTCCCCCACTTCTCTGCAGGCCTAACGGACTCATTTATCAGAAGTTTCGCAATCAGTTCTTAGCGTTTTCCATTTTTCAGAGTGAGTGTCTCTTGCCTCGATTCTGTTGTTGGTGGGGCACAGTTCCCTGTGGAGGCCCCGTCCCAGGGAAGGGTGTATCTTTTGCAGAAGTGAGCAGAGATTGGGGGAGGTCCCTGGCCAGCCTGGGGCAGGGGAGGGTCCCAGAAATCCAGAGAAGAGCTATCTGCTCCCCAGGTCAACTCCATCTTACCACCCAGCCCTCAGCCCCAGTCTTTTGTCCCCCCAGATCCGAATCGGACCAGTTGTGACCTCCTGGAACTAAGTGGTGGTGGGGGCACTAACTTTGTTTTCCTCAAAATGGAAATATATGTTCTTTTTCTCATTTAAGAATAGCTCTGGATTTATATACAATGTAAATTGGTCCCAAGGGTCACCTCTGGAAAAGGGGAGCTTGGATGGTTGGGGACAAAAAGAGAGAGACTTTTGCTTTTCACCAAGTACCAGTTTGTTCTCTTTGAATTCTAAACCGTGTGCACATTGCCTATTGAAAAAGTACTATTTGATGTTTAAATAAAACCCTGCTTACAAATACAGATCTATAAAGCCAAGAATGAAATTATATACAACCCCACCCTTGAGGGTGATCACTGTTAATCAACCTATGACCTTTCAAACATTTTTATTCATAAATACATATATACTGCATTATGTGTAGCCTTTAAACACGGGATCCCTCTGCACATACAGCTTGGCTTTTTTTTTCTTTTAGCAATTACAGGGATATTTTTCCCACATCAATACACAGCATGTTCCCTCCTGATTTTTAGTGACTGCAAGTATCTCATTGTAGGGAACTGTCTCTTGCTGTCTTGTCCTTGCACACAGCTCCCCGCACGGTGCCACCCTTCCCACAGGCATCTTTGGAGTACCTACTTCATGCCTAGGAAAGCTTTCCAAGCTTCTAGTCTAGCTGGGGGGCTTTGCTGGGTCCTCAGATAACCTGATCTCTCTTTGTATTTTGGATAACAGATAGAGTGGGTTCATACTCGTGTGTGTGTGTGTGTGTGTGTGTGTGTGTGTGTGTGTGTTGGGTGTGGGAGAGGGTTGTACCCAGGGTGCCCCCTGCCCTCTGGGCAATGAAGACCCACCGGCTCTCCGTGGAGGTGTCACCCAATCCTCCGGGCGCTGTGCTCCCCCTGCAGGCTGTGTCCAGTTCCTGCAATATTATTACCAGAGGGGCTGCCTCTACAGGCTGCGGGCCCTGGGAGAGAGGAATCACCTGGACCTCACGGTGGGTGAGTAGCCCACCTGGGGGGTGGAGGGACAAGTAGCCCCTGCCCGCTCCCCCAGACCTCGCCCCTAACTCTCCACACTGGGAGCATGTGCCAGTAAGGACATCACAAGACCTACCACACACAAAGCCAGGCCTGCCGGCATCTCCCCGAGTTGCTTTTCATAATTCTTTGTGGCTTCTATTTCAGCGGACAAGTGTGAGGCCAGCTGTGTGCCCTCAATGCTGGCTTCTCTCTTTCCTTTTTCAGTGTCTATTTTTTGTCTATGCTTTATAATCAACATAATGTTAGCCTAGCGTTGTCGCTCATGTATAACTTACGTGTAATATGCCTACAGATACTATGTATAAACATATACATGTATATCCACTGGGAATGTGTGCGGAACCTATTTAATTTACAGATGTGGGTGCCCAATCAGAAAAGCTTGGAGACCCCCATCTAAACTTTCAGGGGAAACTTTTTAATAAAACTCTGCTATCTTGTGTGATGGTCATTTCCATCGAAGTGCTCTGCATAGTAGGCCCTTTGTCAAGACTCAATGGAAATAATGCATTCAAGTGATCCACTGTAAAATGCAAATTAAGGAAATTATTGAAAACATAGTGCCCGGCACATGCCCCGGCACATCAGCATTCCCTAGGTGTGGTCCAGCCTACTTAGTTCACTGCCGCTTAAGGCATGAGAGCCGTTAGGCCTGGTGATGTGTTCTGCACACAGTCAGCACTCACGTACCTGGAAGAGGTGAAGGCCGTTCCCCCTGCCCTGTGTGTGTGTGTCTGTGCCTGGCTAATCTCAGGGCGACTGGCTTGGCTGAACAGGGGGCGCTTGGTGGGGCCATGGGGGCAACCAGACCCCCTCACGTGGGTCCTTTGCTCCCTCCCTCTTCTCCACAGAAGGATTCCAGTCCTGGATGTGGCGGGGCCTCACCTTCCTTCTGCCTTTTCTGTTCTGTGGCCACGTGAGTCCCCCTCGGAGTTTGTGGGTATCCCCTGCTTTGGTCTCACCCCTGGGAACAGAAGGTCCTCAGGCCTCTCCCCCTTTTACCAGCTATCACTGAATTGGGCCCCATGGGGTCCTGGAGCTAAGACGGCCCTTGGGTCCAGGGAGGCCAAGGGCAGAAGCCAGAACTGGCCTTCAGGCTACTCTGGCCTAAGGTGTCCCAGTTTCTTTTGGGGGCATTGTCAATGTGTCAGGGCAGTTGGTACCAGAAGCCGGGGGTCCTGTTGCATTTCCCCGGGCCTTCCCATGTGGGTCCCCAGGGGAATCGGGTAAGGTGAGCAGTGCCTGCCTCCCCTCTCTGCAGTTCTGGCAGCTCTACAATGCAGTGACGCTGTTTGAGCTCTCCAGCCACGAGGAATGCAGAGAATGGCAGGTATGGTGCGTGCGTGCATGCGTATGTATGGCAGGGATGGCGGTGGTCCTGGGGAAGGCTGGGTTGGCTTGGGGAGAATTTTCACCCCCTCCGTGAGGCCCTGCTGCCCAGGCCTCTCTGCTACTGGGGCCTGGGAGACGGTGGGAGGGAACTCGGGAGGCCAGGAAGCCCCTCAGTGGTCTGAAAAATCCCAAGGAGGTTCACCCCATCGAATGCTATGGGGGGTCCCGGGAGGAGGCCCCTTCCACCCCCCGCCAAGACCCTGTCTGACCCCAAGGACTCCCTCCCTTCACCCAGTTGGCCCAGGTCTCTGCCTTCCGCTGGCAGAACCCTGCAATGTGTGGGTAACTTGTGCTGAAGGGGTTCTGAGGTCCCGTGGTGGGGTGGGCACTTCAGGGAGGGGAGCTGCTCAGAGCTGGCAGCCTTTTCTTCCTTTCCCCTCTTCTCTTGCTCCCCCCTCAGGTGTTCGTGTTGGCGCTCACGTTCCTGGTCCTCTTCCTCGGCAATTTCCTGACCACACTCAAAGTCGTACACGCCAAACTCCAGAAGAACAGAAACAAGGTGAAGCAGCCGTGAGCCACGGACTATGCCCCTCAAGCCCCCGGACTTTGAGAACTGCAGGGGGATCCCAGTCGGCACCCTGGCTGCCGATTTCCTCCCCAGCAGTGCCAGTGGCCCCTGGCAGCAGTGACCTCAGGGGCCAGCGGCCTCACAGGGGGCAGGCCCGAGGCCCTAGCCCCCAGCTGAACAAGAGGAATGTGACCCCAGCCTGTCTGCACAGTATTAGCGGCCCCAGCCTCCCTATTTATCACATATTTAATACCCGGTCCTCCCCTCTTCTCTGGACCCTTCCACCTTCCCCCACTGCTCCTGCCCAGACTGGGTCAGTCGTCCTTGGGGGAGGCTAAGCCTCAGGGAGCCTCTTTCCCCACTCCTGTCATTCGAGCCCCTCTGGGTGGGGTGTGGACATGCCTCCTGGGGTTGGACTTGTGACCTGCTACTTACAGAGTCCCAGGTGCGGGTGGAAGGAAGCCCCTGGGCATCCTGTGGAGCCTTCCCTCAGGGGCACATCGCTTCTGCTGTAAGCTCCCACCTCCTGGCCTCCACTCCCGTGGGGCAGGTATTTAAGTTCTCGGAGAACCACTGTCTGTCTGTGCCTCCTGCTCTGTGCTTCCTGCGTCTCTTGCCTGCTGGCCATCCAGGGGGAAAGCAGCCCTACCTCCCTGAGGCCTGGGGCTCTGGGCCCCAGGAACAACTTGGAGGGGAGGGCCGACGTTGGGAGGGTTTTCTGAGGGTCACCACCAGAGGGCGCCCCAGCCTCTGCATCATTTGGGTGGTTTGAGGGCGTTTTCTAAATTTGATACTGAAAGTTTGGGTCTGTTCTTGGGGGCTTTCCGGCCCCTAACCCCTCAGCCCACCTTCCCGAATCTTGCAGTGAGTACTCAGGGAATGGGTCCAAGACCCTCAGTGCTGGCTGGCCTTCAGCCAGCATAGAGGTCACCCAACCGTCCACCTCAGAGATTCTGGAATGTGGACAAAAGTCTGAGCAGCCTCACTTCCAGGAGGCTGCACAGGGCAGGTCTGCTGGACACCTCATGTTAGATTCTGAATTTGGGGCGGGGGTGTGGTGTGGTGTGTGTGTGAAGAAGAGAACAGGTTTGGTTGACTTTTCTGCCCCTTCTCCCACACCTAAGCTTCAGCTGCCCTTAACTATGTCCCTACAAATCCCCTTTCGACCAGAGTTCAAAGCTGGTGTTCACAGCTATGCTTTGGCCCTCAAAGGGATTTAAATTATTTTAAATTACATTTTTAAAATATGAAATTCCCCCTCCCCCCAGTAAGATTCCACATGAAAACCCAGATTTCTGCTTTCCCTAGAAAAATGGAAAGACTTGGTAATATTCCCACAGGGCAGCACTTGCCAGCCTGCGCTGCCTGCCTAGGGTGGCGTGCTTGCTCTGGGGCTTGCCACAGGCCCCACCACTCCCTTTCGTCCCTGCCCTACTTCACTCTTTGGGCCTCCCACCTGGCCCTTTAGGTACTTGGGTTTGCCCTAGACGAGGCCTCGGCAAACTTGTCCTGTAAAGGGCCAGATGGTAACTAGTTTAGGCTTGGAGGGCCAGCTGGTCTGTCACAACTGCTTTAGCCCACAGTTAGTTATAGGGCAATAGCAACCCATGCAGAAATGAATGGGTATGGCAATGTTCTAATAAAACTTTTATTTACAAACACATACAGCGGCCAGAGTTGGCGCACAGGCCATAGGTTGCTGGCCTCCGTCCTAGACCATCCTTTGTCCAAAAGGCCTTGGATTCTGCTAGAATAAGAGGTCCTTGGTCTGCACACACTGTTGAGTCCCCAGGGCATGGCAGGGCCCTGGAGAACCTAGGTGGGGTGGGGTGGACTTCAGAAGTCTCTCATAGCAGTTGACTTCAGAGAGGCTCGGGCTTCGTGGGGGCCACAACACTGGGCAGGGCGGGAGCTGAGGCAGGAGCCACCTGAAGCCATCATCCCATCTTTGGTAATGCTGACTCCTGAGCTCACTCAGGAACCAAGCAGCTCTCAATCTTTGGGGTGTTAGAATCACCTGGGGCACTTGTTTCAAAACTCCTGGTCCCCCAACCCCAGACCTTCTGACACGATAGTCAGTGAATCTGCGGCAGGGGATCGATGCAGTCCGATCTCAAAGCGGGCCAGGATGGTCTAGGCTCCGGAACACATCTTCATAGAAATGGCGTCTGTGAGGGGCAGAGGGGAGCTTGGTGACCATGTACCTGAGCCAGTGCCATCTTTTTGCAGACAGGAGAAAAGTCGGTAGGAAAAGTCTGTAGAGAGAACTGACTTGCTCAAGATCAGGGGCTGATGTCACTTTTCATCTCGCGTTTTCAGCAATGGGGGAGGGTCACAGGTAAGGAGAACCTGAGCCAGGGTCGGATGGGTGATCCAGGGTGTTTGTTTTGCTGAGAGGTTCTTCTCTTGGGCATGTGCGCTCAGCTCTGGAAAGATGGCAGCCGAGGCGAAGGCTGCAACTGAAGTCCTCCGTGTGGGGCAGAAGGGGCAGAGTAGATGGAGGGTGGTGCCTGCATTCTCCTGATAGGCCCAGTCCCATCGTGACCCCAGAGTTCCTGGGGGAAGGAAGCAAGAAGCTGGAGGATGCAGCTGGGCCTATCTTGGGAGCCCAGGGAGGCAGAGGCGGGTGACACTGGAGCAGCAGGCTTGGGGGGCCGTGGGGACGGCTGCCAAATTCCCATTTACCCACATACCCAGTGTAGTTTGTTATTTCAAGCACAGGCTTTCAGGACCTTATTGGGTGTGCAAAGGGGGATACACATGGCTGGGGGGAAGGTGTGAAGAGGTACTCCTGAGTCCTGGGGACAGATGCCAGTTCTAGGGTACATAGGGACTAAGTCCGGCACCGTCACCCACCACTGTGCAGGCCACAGCTCCAGTGTGACCCCAGAGGTGAGTTCATGGTCAGAGCCCCAGCTGGGAAAAGAGAGAGCTCCAGAAAGTTCTAAGAGTCTCGCCACAGGCTTCAGACACCAGGCATTGGAGAGACCAACCCCAAGTGCCCCTTGAAAACGGGGTGGGACAGGATCTAGGGAGCAGCCTGGGCACCTGAGCCCTGTCAGTCTTGTTCCGAGGGCCGTATGGTCCACCTTGTAGGGGTCAGAGCAGCAGGCACGGCCGGCGTTTCTTCCTCTGTGCTTTCTTCAGAGCACTGAGGGCAACCTTGGCGGCCTCTCGAAAGACGTCCTCCACGTTCTCCCGAAACTTGGCGGAACATTCCCGGTAGAGGGCAGCTCCTATCTTTTCACAGGTGCTCTGGCCCTGAGTCGGGGGCAGGGGGGGGGGGCAGCATTAGATGAGGGGCCTGGAACATGAACTGCCTTTTGACAGCCCCTCGTGGGTTTGGGGCTGGTTTTGGGGACTCAGGCCTTGGTGTGGGGCCCCTCTCTCCACCCCAGGGCCAGCCCCCACCAGTGTGTATGGATGGAACAGAAGGGCCTGTTTGGCAAAGGGCCATCCTGGCTCCCCCACCCTCTCTCCAGCTTCAGGCAGAAATGGAAGCTGAACTCTGAGAACCGGGGTTGGTGGCTGTGCCTGCCAGGCCTGTGGGAAGAGTTGAAGGCCTCGAGAGAGCACGGGTTTCCAACATACCTCTCTCCCTTCTCTTCTCAAAAACATAATTTAGGCAACTGCGCCTGCTATTAGAGTAAAAAATATCTTTATTTCTAAAACAAAATGTTTATTTTATTATTATTATTTTTTAGCTGAGCCATCCTGCTACCTGTTGGCAGCTCAGCGGCTGCTCAGCTTGGGCTGGACTCGAACCGCTGTTGCTCAGAGCTCAAACTCTTGAGCGAGCTCTTAACCAACTGAGCCACTTGGCCGGCCCTAAAAACAAAATTTATTAATGCTATCCTTTTTATTAAATTTTGATTTCCTTTCTGTTCCTTTTTTATTCTCCCGTGCCTCACCCATAAAACCATGGGCTTTGGTTTTACCCATGAGTCTTAGGGGCAGCCTGCTTTCGCACAAGCGCCTGCCCATTGGGTAGACGGGACAGGATGGCGGTTAATGGCCCAGACTCTGGAAGCCAGAGCGACTGGGACAGCTTCCTAGCTCCACTTCAGGTTAGTCGTGGGACCCTGAGCAAGCTCCTTAACCTTTCTAGGTCTTAACTTGTTCCCAGTAATATAGGGAACATCTAAGAGTACCTGCCTCAGAGTTATAAGGATTAAATGAATTAATTAATGTAAAATGCTCAGATAAGCGGGCTATCAACAATATTTTAAAATTATTATTCTTAGAATCCTTTTTGCTTCAGTTGTCCGAAAAGCCACTAAGGCATCCCAGTTGCAGAGGCCAAAGGCCTGGGAACCTTTCCGGCCATGGCCGTGCCCAAGGACCCTGGCTCCTGGCGGTGGGTAGGGGGAAGAGGAGGGGAGAGGCTCCTGGCTGACCTGCACGTAGGTGATGGGCTCCTGTTGGGCCGCCCGTAGCTTCCGCAGCATCTCCTTGTCCTTCCTCAGGTCTGTCTTGCAGCCAATGAGCACCCTGGGTGTCCCAGGGCAGAAATGCGCGACTTCAGGGAGCCACTGTGGAGGGAGAGGCCAGGCATCAGGGCTGGGACTAGATCCGTGGCCTCTAGCCCCAGAGGTAGGCTGGCTGGGAGACAGGCCTCACCTTGACGGTGACATTGTCGAAGCTGGTGGGGTTCATGACGTCATAGCAGATGAGCACGAGGTGGGTGTTCTGGTAGGACAGGGGCCGCAGTCGGTCATAGTCTTCCTGCCCTGAAACCGGAGAGCAGGTGGGGGTCAGGGAGGTACCCCTTCCTTGTCCACTGAGTCCCCTGTCTGGGCTCAGATGGGCAAGGGGTTGCGGTCCCCTGGACAAGTGACTCGTGTCTCTAAGCTTTAGTTTCCTCATCTGAAAAACAGGTGGCTGCCCTGGATGGTAGCAAAGACTACAGGAGATAAAACCCAAGCAGTGGTCGGAGCTGGGCCTGATTACAGGTTAAGTGCTGGAAAAGCTGCTAGCAATTATGCTGAAGATGAACCCCGCCCCGCTGCATCCTGCCCTGGTGCTCGGGCTGAAAAGTGCAGACTCTGAAACCACACCCCCCTTCCCAAAGATTCAATTAACCAGGGAGGGTGTCTCTCAAGCCAGAGGTGCATGGCCTCAGGTGGAATTCCTCCTGCCATTACAGCAAATGCTAGGAGAGGGGGGGACAGCTGGAGATGACAAGCACGCTCCCCACCCAGATTCACCCCCCACAACAGCTGTCACCCCCCCATCACACTCACCAGGGGAGAACTGAAAGCTCCTGATACTCACGCCCCCCCTCTCCCCGCCAGCACCAATTGAATCAGAGCCGAGCAGCAGTGGGTGTGGTGGGTTTTTAAAAAATTTTTTAATTCACGATTTCAAACTTATAGAAAAATTGCACAAAAAAAGCACAAAGAACTCACTCCCTTGGAGAGGCAACTGCAGACACTGGGCTTCCTCACCCAGGGGTACTTCCCTAAGGATTTTCTAAGAACAGGGACAGTCTCACCTACCACAGTACAACTACCAAACTCGACAAAGCAACACCGATCCAGTCCACAGGCCATGCTGAGCTCACCAACAATGTCTTCTCGTATTTTCCCCACCAGTCCAGAAGCAGGCCCAGGATGACATGCTGTCCTCCGTCGTCATGCCCGGTATTACTGAAAAACTCCCACAGTGAGAGCTGAGCCTTTCAGGCTCATTGGTGACCTCCCAGCCACATCTGCAGAAAGGGATGACTTCCTTCCACTGAACAGGGACACGAGGAACAGGAATCCCCCACCCCCATCCCCCACTCCAGCCTGGGGCTGTCCTGGTGGCGCCAGCCTGCCCTCCACTCCCTCCCTGCCAAAGGCCTCTCAGGACAAGTGGCCTCTCCACTGAGCATGGACAGGCCATGTGCTGCGTCCTGCTTCTGGCCCCCCACTGAAGACAGGGCACAGTCACCCTCTCCCCACTTCAAACCAGGGACCCCTGGCAGTGTGCAGTGAATGGTTGCCACAGTCATGACCGTGGCCGGGCCAGGAAGACTCCATGCTGTCATTCAGCCAAAATCCCCCCAGCACTGGAGAAACCCTTGTAAGATGGTGGGAAACTGGCCTAGCATGCTATTCTGGCCCATCTCCCCTTTCTGTCCCCAAACTGTCCCCTCCCCTAACGTTTGTCCATGTCTTTCTAGACCTCTGCTGTCTCATAGAGTAGTTGCTAGTCCCATGTGGCTATTTAAATTAACATTAAAAATTCAGATTCTCCATTACACCAGCTACATTTCAAGTGATTAACTGCCACATAGGGCCAGTGGCCACTGTAACAGACAGCGCAGGTATAGAAAGTTCCCAGCAGTGCAGAAAGTTCTATTGGACAGGATGGCACCATCTTCGGCCAAGCCACCGGCGGTCTTCCCATGCCACCTCCTCCCTGGTCTCTTGCTGCCCATCAATGAATCCATCCTTCACCTGGCAGCTGGATGGATCTTAAAACTCAAGTAAAATCCTGCCCCCCTCCTCCCAACTCAAATGCCCTTAATGGTTCCCTAGTGCTGGTTTTATAAAATCCAAACATCTAGGTGGTCCACATGACCTGGGGCCCTCTGACCTTGCCCCCATCTCCTTCCCTCCACCCCCCTCAATCACTGCAGTCCAGCCAAGGTGCCCTCCTCAGTTTCTCAAACCCACCAAGCTCTTGTGCCTCAGAGCCTCGGCACTTGCTGTTCCCTACACCTGGAAAGCTTTTCCCTCCTTTTCCCCCCCCATTTTCTTCATAACATTTTATTTATTTATTTATTTATTTATTTATTATTATCCTTTTTTTTTTTAGCTGAGCCATCCTGCCACCTGTTGGCAGCTCAGCAGCAGCTCAGCTCGGGCTATGAATCACACCAGTGACCCTGTTGCTCCAGAGCTCACACTCTTGAGCGAGCTCTTAACCAACTGAGCCACTCGGCCGGCCCTCTAGCATTTTATTTTTAACCATTCAGATTGACCATTCACATTATTTCCTTTTGCAGATCATTGCCTTGTCTCGACTTCTACGTAATAATAATGCCACCCTATACTTGATGTCCTTTTCAGAATATTTTTGCCTTTGTAAATGATTAAGAAATCCTGACAGCAACCGCCCGATGTGCTAGTCGGGGAACTTAGGAACGCTCCCATTTATAAAGAAAGAAACAGCTTTAGGGAAGTGGCATGACCCATCCCAGGTCACTGCCTCAGTGAATAAGCCAGGACTCAACCCCAGTCCGTTATATGCCAAGTCGCGCGTTCCTTCTGTAAAAACTGAGCAATGCTGTATTTTGCTTTGCACTGCACAAAAATAGCTTCTGGGCCTCTATGATGTGCGGTGCAATTCGTAATGGTGGCAGAGCACGCGTTCTCATCCCCTTTGCAAAACGTGGCAGGAGTATCGGCTAAGCAGTCGGAGGGCAGGCCTGCTGTGCTCACACGCCTGCCTTCCCTCACCTGCCTGGCGTATTCCTCAGGCAGGCCTCCCCTCTCCACTTGCAGTCGGGCCCCACCCTGAGTGTTCACAGTCTGTACTCCTGTATTTCCTTATTTACTGCCTGTGTCCCTGGGGACTGTAAGCACCCTGAGGACAGGGACCACATCTGTCAAAAAAAATCCTGGCAGCCGGCAGGCACCCAGTATCAGCTGGGTGTTGCTTTGAAGTTGTTCGACTCTTGTCAGATGAGGGCTGAGACGGGCCACTGGGTTTGGCAATTTCGGCTGTGATGGTTTCAGCAGAGTTGATGAGGGCTGAAGGAAGGAATCAGGCCAAGCCTGCTCCACCTCAGCAACTCCTCCCAGGGGGAGGTGGTGGTGGTGGTGGTGGGGAAGCCGTTCCATCTTCTTGAAGGCTCTTCCCCAGGTAGCAGCATGGCTCCTCCCACCTTTCCTGCAGGTCTCTGGAGAAGTGTCACCTCCTCTGAGACAACTTTCCCAACTGCTCTGGGACGTCTCCTTCCGGGTCTGTCCCACAACCGACCAATCAATGTGGCTTTCTTTTTCCTCCTAGCACGTTATCACTACCTGATGTCACAATATTTTTCTGGTTGTTTTTTTTTTGGTCTCGCCCATGAAGGGCTGTCTCTGTATGTGCTGTTCCCTGTTAGACCCCGGGATACAGGCGAGCTCGGTAAATGTTTGCTGAATGAATGAACAAACGAATGAAGTGTGATGATAACGCCCACGGCTCTCAGCGTTTGCAAGGTTATTGCACCTCCATCACCTGTGTTAATTTAAGCAGCCACCCCAGGAGGTAAGCTGGGCAGGGAAGGTTCTTCCTGTTAGGAGCCCACGTGGCTGAGGGGGACATCTTTCAAGGTCATAGACAGGTGCCCTGAGAGCTGGAGTGCCAACAGTCCCCATGTCCAAGGTCAGCTGCCTGCAAAGCCACTCTAAAAGTGCCTATTCTCCCAGGAAGCCTTCTCTAGCCTTCCCAATTGAGAATTAACATCTGAACCTCAGTTTCCTCATCTGTGAAACAGGTATGTGAGAAGCAGGTGAACCTTGATGACAACAATAATAAAATGTTCAATCTCAGCAAAATTTATCGGCAGTGCTCACTCATCATATGCCAAGCCCCATCAGAATGACCTGCATTGACTAATCATTCCTCACTATGACTCTATAAGATAGGGCTATTGTTATCCCCGTTTTACAGATGAAGAAACTGAAGCACAGAGGAGGTAAAGTGACTTGTCCGAGGTCACACAACTCAGAGGAAGCTTTGTAAATGACAGAAGACCATAGCCAGGACTATTGGGGTGCCTGTCTCTCAGTCCACCTCAAAGGGTAGGGAGCTATCTTCATCCTACAAGCCCAGCCTTTACCAGGTCAGGAAGCAACTGTCAACACAGGCATCTCAAGAAAGAGAGGAACTCTGGCTCGCCCAGATCTCGCCTCCTCCTCCAGGCTGCTTTCCTGGCTTGACTGTGCCTGGCATGGCTTTTCCCGGGGTTCACTGTGGCCTTCCACACAGGGGCCAGGCCTACAGATGATAGACTTCTGGGTGCTATTGACCTCACATCTTGGGAGGGGTGGAATGTCCTAGACAACTCTCCCATATGAGTCAGGAGGGCCAGGCTGCACTCAGACTGGCATTCCATGCCCTTGACACCTTCCCTCTCTGGGCCTATTTCCTTGTGTGGAAAGGGGGTGAGAACCCTGCCCCTGATACTGAAAGTCACGGACTTCTAGGCTGAGCAATGCTGGACATAGGTGAGGGATTGCTACTGTGGTTATTACTGAAATAGGAATTTCCAAGAGATAGGGGGCCTAGGTGGGGGCTCTAACCCTGGATCTTTAGACCCACAAACTTTAGGAGGCCTCCAGCCACAGGCGGTACTATTACCCTCCCCATTTACCCACAGTGATGCCAAGCTTAAAGGGGCCAAGTCACGTGTCTACAGGCACCCAGGGGTCCAACGTTAGCCTCTGCACACAGGCTTCAGATGTTTAAAAAGCCCAGGGTTTTGTGCAAAAGGAGGCCTTTATTTCTGGTGAGGAAAGGTCTGTGGGGCAGGGAGGAAGTGAGGCTCTCGCCCCACAAGAAGATATTTCCTTTGTGGGGAGGAGCTTTGCTGCAACAGTCATCTTTCTGGGGGCAGGGGTCTCTAAGGCCCAAAGCTGGATTGAAGAGAGAGGGTGTTATCAGGCCACAGTGGTACCCAAATCGGCTGGAGGGACATACACAGGGCAGGTGGGTCCCAGCTCTGGCTGAAGTGTTGGTCATGGGAAGGGTGCAGGCAGCGTGAGAAAGGGAAGCTGCCCAAAGAGGAACCCACAATGACTAGTGCTACTGGGACTCGCCCACCTGCCTACCTTCCCCAGAGATGGGAGTAGCTGGGGCCCCAGCTGAGAGTGCGTTCTGACCACCCACAGCTTCGGCTCCCTGAGCCTCCAGTGCTCCTGGCTCCTAGACACGCCTTGTGTCCCTGATGCCTTGTTTTGGCAAGTCTTCTGCCCCCCACTTTTCCTATTGTTCCCATCTCAGGCTAGGAAGGGAACCACAGCGCCCCACCTCCCTGAGAAATCCCCACCCCATGACACCCCAACGCTGGCCCCAGCCCAAGGCCCAGAAAACTCAGTCTCTGGTTGGTGTCTTAACCTCCCACCTCACCCCCGCCTCCCCTCTGCCCAGGAAACTTCAGGCCTCACCACAGCTTCCTGCCTCTGAGGGTGTCAGGGCCAGCAGGCAAGGCTGCTAAGTAAATGGGTGTCACAGCCCTTACCCCCCTTCACCTTCCAACATTGAGACCTCCATCACCCCGCCCTCCCTCCACCCTTCTGCTGCTTTGGTGTCTATAACTGCTTCCGCAGGATGGAGACAAGTCCAAGTCGCTAGACTGGCCTCCCACATGGGACCCTGTGGCCAGGTCCTGGGTGTGGAAAAATTCAGCCTCTGGGGGGGGGGGCACCCGTCCCAGAGCTCACCACTGGTTGGTTGGAAAGATGCCGTCCTGCACCCCGCCTCTCCCCACCCTTGCCATGGGGGTCTAACCCATCAGGTTCTAGAACCTTCTACAACAACCTTTACTAGACGTATCTCCAGCTGACCCATGCTCTTTCTCTGTTTGGTCACCTAGCCATCCTTTTCTGCCATGTTCTCCTGATATCTGTCTACCCCACAGGTAGAGATGAATGTCATCGCCTTTATCACACAGGACTTCTCCAGGGGCATGTTCGCATCCGGATTTATCCTTCATTCATTCCACAAGCCTCGCTCTACAACGAGCACTATGCTGGGTACTGGCTTACTGAAGAGGGATGACCCAGTCTCTCCTTTCATGCAGTTCCCTGCAGTGGGATTCCCCAGTGGGCTTCCCAGGTCAAGCCCTGTCACAGCGGGATACCCTTGAGGAGGGTGCAGCCACAGTTCTCCCTGCACGGTCCTGATGCCTGTGGGGCCAGCCTACTCCTCCAGACTCCATGCAGAGGTTCAAAGGGCTTGGAAGAGTCATGCTGGAAAGCAGAGGTGGGGCCGGCCCAGAGCTTTGCAGGCCTAAATAGGGGCGGGGGAGACTAAAAAATGACAATGCTTAGCAAGCCTTTCCTGAGAGCCAGCCCCTGTGCTGGGTTCTGCACAGCACATGGACCTGACTTCATCCTCACGACTATTTTAGGCCTGGTTACAGATAACAAAACCAAGGCGCAGGCAGCCCTGATGACACCCAGCCAGGGGAGATGGCATCGAAGCCCAGGTCTGACTCCAAAGCCTGTGGACAGGCAGGATCATGGCCTGGGGTGGTCGAACAATTCTGATGACTCAGGGGACGGAGCTCCCTCTGTCCCTCCGGATGCAGCTCGTAGAGCAAATCCTTTTTTACACCAAATAGAAGCTTTCCAGAACCTGCACATGACAATCTACCCCGACATGTTCTTTGAGCATCTTGCTCTGGGAGAGGCCAGAAAGACTAGAGGTGCTGGGTCTGATGGGGAAGGCTTAGGTGAACAGTGAACCCTGGCGATCTGCTGGGAGACACCCTGAGGGCAGAGGAAGGAGGAGGGAGTGAAAACTCCCCTGACTCTCCCAGCCCCATCAGCACCCCACCCACAAAGTGGAGTTAATGAACCAGCCCCTCCCTGGGGCCCACAGGAAACATGTGAAAACAAAAGTGTCTCAGACATATCACAATTTTTACTGCTCTTGCGGCCACACTCGGGAATTCCTCAGAAACCTGTAGCTTTCCCCGCTCAAGGGGTGACGGCATGGCCCGGTTTGGGGGAAAGCCCAGCAGGGCTCTCATCGGACAAGAGGGGGAGGTCCTTAGAGGCCACTGCAGAGGGGGAGACACACCCATTCAGCAAAGCCTGAGTCAGGAATGGAGTTGGGGTCTTTCCTGATCCTCTGCAGGTGGAATGCGAGATGCTACTGGCAGCTTTGGAGAGGGAGCGGTGTGTGTGTGCATTTTGGCTCCAAGGCCAGTTGGAGACTTCACCTCATATGTACAAGGCTTGCCTGGGGAAAGGGCAGGCACCTGATGACATGGTTCCACGCAGGTAACTAAACACTGAGTCAACGGGGATGGGTGAGGCCCCAGCTGGGGATCCTGACCTTTGCTCCCTAATGTAAACTCAGATCAGACGGTAGCCAGGACAGGATGGAAGCCCCCACAGCCCACCAGTGTTACCCAAATCCTCTCATTGGCTGTACTCCTCCCACCCATCCCCCAACCACAGGGACTCTGCTGACTCCGAGACAAGCAGCCTGAATCCACTAGGAGCTGCAGGTGGCAGAGAGGAACCTAACGTTCTGACATACCCTAGAGCTTGATCCTTTCTCAGTGCCTGGTTTCTTCCAGGGAACCAGGGAGGCACAGAATCCTAGAACCACAGGTTCAAAATTGTAGACCACAGAATTCCAGAATCACGCACTGTAACCCATGTCATTCCAGAAACGTGGGATCAAAATTTGCCTCCACGGGACCCTGGAGTCTCAGGACTGTCCGCCACAGACTCTTGGAAGTCACAAGCTCTGATCCGTAGCCCAGAGTATTCTAGAAGCACAGGACCCAGAAATGCAGCCCACGGAATCCTAGCACCAGGGGACTCAAATCTACAGCCCACAGAATCTTAAGAGACCACAGCGGGTAACACACGGAATCCTGGGAACAAGCGAAGCAGAAAGAAGCCCACGATTTTCTAGAACCACAGGAGAGGAACGAAGCAGAGGGCTCTCAGCACATCAGCGCAGGGTGGTGGCCCAGGGGCTCACCTCGTTCAAATTGTCTTCTTTTACAGATAGGCGATTGAGGCCCCCTCGGCCTCCAGGACCACCCGCCAGGCGTTGGTCAGCCGGCTGCCAGCCAGCGCCCCTCCGCAGCCTCCAGAGTGATGGGGCTGTCAGGGCCCCGCTAAGGCTGGTGGCCAGGAACGCCGGCGGGGATGTCCCCGCGGGGGAAACCCTCCGGGCGGACCCTGAAACCTTCGTCGCGCAGGCACTCACCGGCGGTGTCGTAGAGGTTCAGGGTCACCTCCTTGTTGCCCACGGTCACGTTGGCCGTGTACTTCTCGAACACGGAGGGGGCGTAGTGCTGTCGGAGGAGGGATTGGGTTGGTTCTTAAGGGATGCAGCGGGGTCCCTGGGTCCAGCAGGACTCCCCGAACCTTCCATTTTCACCCATCTGGGCTCTGGAATTCCCGAGGGGGAGCCCCGGGGTGGCGGCAGCCTCTCTGCGCGCAGGCCGGGGACCCGGGGTCCGGGGTCCGGGCACAGGCTGAGGGCCATCCCTTTCCCACAGCGGTCCCAAGACCGTTTTCCACCTCCTCCAACCTACCCGCCTCCAGCCTACCCGCCTGGCGGGCCTCACCTCGGGGAAGGAACCCTGGCTGTACACCATGAGTAGTGAAGTCTTGCCGCAGCCGCCGTCGCCCACGATCACGATCTTCAGCGCCTTCCTACCCCGGCCTGGGGCGGCCGTCTGGGCCGGGATCCCCGGGTCGTCCATAGCCCGCAGCCCGCAGTACTGACAGCAGCGCGCGGGTCGGAGCGCTGGGACTGAACGATCCGAGACGGGGGCGGGGCTAGGAGAAGCCCCGCCCCCTCAGAGCCGGCGCCACCTCCGCCAGGCAGCCACCCGGGCCGACTTCGATCCTCAGTTTCCTTCCAGCCTGGGGCGTTCGCCTCTCATTTGGAGGGAAACTGAGGTAACTGAGAAACGAAATGCTTAACCGCAAGCGCAGCTCCCACCCCTCCCCCGCCATCACGGCGCGGCCCCCCCACCATTAAGATCCGATCGTTTCCGCGGCTCCTTGCCGGCCACCCCTGATTGGCCGGCTCCGCCTTCTGGCAGGCATGCTCTGATTGGCTGGCTCGGCCTCCCCAATCAGGCAGGGACTCTTTGATTGGCGGACTGTCTTCCCGCCCCCCACAGCACCCGGGTTCCTGGAGCCTTGGTTTCAAGCTTCGGATAAAGTCCCCCAGCTTTGCCCCGCCCCAGCTGTGTGGCCTGGGGCAAGTCCGCCTGTGACCTGTTTCCCCACAGGAGGTAGGTTGGTGATGCCAGGGAAAATGCTGGCACGGTGGTTGTCTGCCCACCTGGTCTGGGCCTCCGGGGGCCTGTGTGCGGGCGGGTTGGGGGAGGGGAATAGCGTTTTCCGCTTACCTACCCCCACTTCCCTAGGGACGCAAGGTAGCCAGCCTTCTGGCGCCCTCTGCTGGGCGATCGCCTCGGCGCGAGCGGTTTGGGGAGGTGAGCGGCTCCGAACCACGCGGGCGGGAGCCTCTACCAGGGGCCAGAGGCGTGAACCCAGCAAGACACGGTCGAGGAAAGAACGGGGAAGGCCAGGGTAGCTCTAGTTGAAATCAGCTCGTCCACTTTGGAGGCAGATAGCTCCCACCCCTACCCAGAAATTTGTGCTCTCCAGCCAGCTGCCACACATCCTCCATCCCAAGGACTATCCTCAATCCTCCCACTCCCCTGACCAAAACAGCTATTTATTGAGCACTCACTACAGGCAGGTACTATTGGGGCTGCTGGCTGCGATCACCCATCTCCATCCCTTCCCTCACTGTGACACTAGGCTGACTTTTGCACAAGCCAGGCCACTGGTCAGGAGAGGCAGGGGACGGACCCCTGGAGCAACTGAGTGGCAGACAGGCACTGACTGGGGCATGGCTGAGTGAGCAGGATCCTCCCAGCTGGTAGTTTCCTCAGAGAGGGGCTGGCAGAACTCAGGATCTTCTTGCTCCTATCCCACCTTGAAGATTCCCAATTTTCAAGTTCTCAGCAAAGCTGAGGTAAACTTTACTTCGAGGAGGAGGAAATTGCCAACCTGGCAGTTCCATAAATGCTGGGTCAAGATTTTTCAGTGGCTGCAAGGTGAGGTCTGACCACCAGAGGGCAGCAGCGACCGCCTGTGGAAGCCCAAAAAGAGCCAGAGCTGGGAAGAGGAAAGGCCCAGTTCCAGGTTGTTGGGTGGAAGCCCTACCCTGTCGCCCAGAGGGCATCGGCTGGGTCAAGCACCCGCAGACAAATTTACAGCAACTCGTTCTTTTTTTTTGCAACACAAGTTTATTGAGAGGCAATTGTGTTCCTGCCTTGTAAGGAGCTCAGAGATGCTCAGTTTAGAAACCAGAGCCCCTGTGGGGTTCAGAGGTTGACAGCTAGGTGGCACCTAAGTTGGGAGGGTGGGCCAGTGGATATAGGGTGGGTACCCACCTTGGGCAAGTGCATGGTGGCTAGAAAATGTCAGCAGGTTTGGCAGTGGCTGTGAAGTGAGGAGGGAGGCCAGACACAGTTGCCAAGGTAACTGGGATTAGATCATGGAAGGCCTGGCTAGCAGGGTGTTGGACAGAAGGCTCCTGAACAGGCCCAGCTTTGGGCCCTCAAACTCTCTCTGGTGACCAGGGAGGAGCTATGATTGGCTGGTGAGGGCATTGGTAGGAAAGAGGAAACCAGGTCCAGAGACATGTCAGAAATAACCCCAGGACCACAGGAGGAGGGTGGAAAAGGGCTTTGAGTGAGGGAGGGGAGGACCTTACCTTCACAGCCAGCCCCAGGCTTCTCACCTCAGGCCTGACCTTCAACAGTGACCCTAAAGCTCAGGGAGGGACTGGGACAGTTAAGAGAGGGAGGGAGGCTGCCTCAACTGGAAAGGGGCCTGGGGAGAATTCACTTAGGAAGTGCACCCCACTCTGAGCAAATTGTGTCACCTGAAACTGGGTTCACCTTACGAGTCCATGGGAGGGCTCCTGACTAGCCTCAAAATCCTCAGACTTCAGTTTCCGCTTTCTCCATCTGAGAAATGGGGCTACCATTTTGATTTAGGACAGAACCACTTACACAAAGCTGAGGGGAGGGAGCAAGAGGAAAAGCGTGTCTTTCCAGCCCTGCCTGGGTCCAGGCAGAACAGCTGATACTGGCCCTAGCCCCCCAACCCACCCCTGCCCGGCCAAAAGGCTGGCAGAACCCCAGCCCCAGCCAGTCTGGGGCATGTTTGATTTGGACCTGGCTTCGGTGGTGGTGTAGGGGCTAGATCTGTAGCTAAAAATACCCAGCAGCCAGGCCAGCTGCTAGAATCTTCCTCAGAGGCAGCCAGGCCAGGGCAAGCCAGCTGAGAAGCTGGCCACACCCCCATACCCAGGAGTCCTACTACCTTACCTGTGAGATGTTCCGAGGACCCATGTCATTCTCCTATTCACCAGGAATTCCTGGAGATTTAGAAAGGCAAGAAAAGTAGCTTTAAACTGGTTGTTCCACAGAGCTGTTGGGACACAGATGCCTAGGGGAGCTGGCCAGGTGGCATTTGTGAGGTGAACTCATTTGGCCTGTGCCATGGTGAGGCCAACTGAGCACAAGAGAGAAGGGGCCAAATCCATTTCTGTCTTGTCAGGGCAAAGTCTGGCCAGCACAGCTTAGGATGGGGAAGTTAATGACAACGCCTGTGACTTCCACTTCCCTAGTGCTTCAGAACATCTGGAGAGGTCAGGACACACCTGAGGGGTCATCTATTCCATGTGAGGCTGAAGAAACTGAGCCTTCATATACTAAGCCAGGGGTTGACAAACTGCAGCTCGCGAGCCACATGCGGCTGTTTGGGTACGTTCTGTCTCAAAAGTTTGCCGACCGACCCCTGGAGGAGCCAGTCTTGTCCCTCACAACAATTTAAAAAGTATTCGAGAGCCATAAATATATTTTTACATAACCACCATTATGTGAATAATATCCTTTAAAAATTTTAAAAATTAAACTATGATAGTTTTATTTTCATTTTCCAATTTTACTTAAGAGCCTGCGGCTCGAGTCGCATTTTGCTGACCCCTGGCGGCTCTTCCATCTTCCAACCCCTGTACTAAGCTATTCTCTGTGGTCCCAAAGATAGGAGGTGGCCTGGGGAATCGCTCCTGCACAAAAAGTTCCCCTCACAAGGCCAGATCAGAAATAGCTCTAAAGGGTTTTGGCCAACTTCCTCCTCCTGGTTCACATGGGGAGACCACTGCTCCCAGAGGGGCAGGGACCTGCCAAGGTCATTGCCAGCTGGAGACAGCACTGAACCTAGGCGGCCTTGGCTTTGAAATGACAGGGTGCCTTTCTACAGTCCAGGCAAAGACTGTGTCTCCACCCAGAGGGTCCAAAAGGTCGCACTGCACGTGGTGGATGGGCAGGAAGAGGCGGAAGAGGCGGGACCCCAGCGTCCAGTAGTAAGGCTGATCAAGCGGCCTCCCAGCCTGGGGACGCCCTTCCGCTGGGCTGGCGTGGCCTTCTAGGCAGCCCCACCGGCTGGGCGCCAGGACAGGCCCCGCCCCTCGCTCCCTGGGTGACCTGTGGGCAGGGCCGCCCTCTTGGCAAGGAGGAAGGACAGCCTGAGGATAGACAGGCTGCCTCGCCCCTCCTGGCCCCCAGGAGGTGATGGGGTGGGGGGACACAAAATTAGAAAGAGAGGGTGAAAGAGAATACAAGAGGGGAGGAGGTATGCTGATGACAATCCTTCCGGGTCATGGGGACACCTCTCCCTTACAAGAATCACTAGCAGACCAGTTTAGCACCTAATTGGTCCCAGGGAGGGAGTGGAAGAACTGGCTGTAGCCCTCCAGGCAGCTGCAGAAAGGGGAGGGTTTAAATTAATTATTTAACAATCTGCCTCCCAGGGCAGGTAAAGCCCCCTGCCCAGGGAGCCACAAAGACTCTATCCAAAGGAAACACAAGACACCCTCAGGCAGCACAATGGTCACTGAGGATCAAGAGAGTTGAATGGTTTCAAAGGCCAAGTGGGAACTTAAACCTTAGGTCTGGGGTGAGTGGGGGAGGGAAGAGGCTCATCAAATTATACAAAGAGGCTCCCCCCTCACCCTGGGTAGGAGGGAGATGGGTGACAGGTGTGGTGGGGTGCACCCCGTTCTTCCCCACAAAGGACAAGATGGACCAAACCCAGCTTGTCTGGGACTGGAGAGGCCAAGGCATGGCAGCCAGAAGGAGCCAAGAGCACCACCAGGGTTACTTTCAACCAGACAGTTTTCCCAGCTCCCAGCAGTGATGCCAGCAGACAGCTGGCATGGGAGGGAGCCCAAAATAGCCCAGACAGCTGGGGCTCAGGGGTGCCACGGACACAGGCGATGGGCTGGAAGTCAAGACACCTGGAACCCTGTCCTGGCAGCTGGGGTGACCTCATGACCTTGGGCGAGTCACTTAAAACTCTCCGAGGGTGGATGACCCCAAATTATGACAGATCATGGAACAGCCTGTGGAGCTGGGGGTAGGCCACCATCCAGACTCCAACTACACAAGGGGCAGAGTGATGCCGGCTGGCTCCTGCCCCACAAGAGAGCCAGTCTTCCCCTTTGCCCTGAGGCTTTGCCACGTGCTCTGAGGTGGGCTGTGGGGGAGGAGCCCACAGGCAGCCAGCCCAGTCTCTATTCCCTGCAGCCCCATCAGAATGGAGGCCAACTAGTGTGAAGCCTAAATGAGAGGCCGGCCCCTTTAATAGCAAATAATCCTCCCACCGCCCTTTTCCGCATGCATCATTATCATTTTACACAGGAGACCCGCCCAAGGTCACCAGCGCAGTGGAGATTCAAGTCCACAGCCACCTGACTTAGAGCCTCCCTTAATTAAGCACCAAGATGCTCCAAACAAAATCTCAGCGTACCCCTCACGCTGAGGGGTGGGGTAAACGTGGGCAGGGCTGATCTGCAGCCCAAAGGCGAGGCAGGCAGTTCAAGCCCCAAATGGTTCATCAAAGTCATCACATACTAGAGACCACAGGGGG